CCTAAAACCACCAATCACCTCTCATTTCGCTTCCTTGCCCGCCATTCCCCTCAATTTTCTCGACAATTTCACTCTACAAATCCCCATTTCCGCGCAGAAGAGTCTGTCTCTGCTCAGACCGGAGAAGCCCCTCGTGGTTGGTCCGTTTATAGGGATGTTGGTGGCGGACTCGATGCAAAGAAAACCCAAGAGAAGAGTTGTGTGCAGGAACGGTCGTCGGGTTCCGATGGCTAAGGAAACATTGGGTTTTCAATAATTGATGACAAGGATGCAGATTTTGTGGCTGAGGGGAGAAATGAGGAGGTAAAAGATGAAAACTTGAGCATTGCAGACAATACTCCGGGGGGGTTATCAGACTCTGATAATGAAGGTGGTGTCTTTTCGAAGGAAATGACTGATAGGAGCATAAAGCAGGCTGGTTTAGATAATGTATACAGAGTTAGGGACACAATGGGGATCAAAAAGAAGGGGAAGAGTAAAGTTAGTTTTGTTTGCGAAGATTGTGGACAGTCGGAGGGTCAGTGGTGGGGAATGTGTCCCTCTTGCGGTAGCGCAGGAAAGATGAAGCGTTTTTATGAAGAGGAGACAAAGACGGGAACGGTTGCAGAGAATGTAATCAGGTCTTGGCTCCCACTGAAGACAGAGGACTCCAAACCAGTTAGGTTGACAGATGTGATGTCTGGAGTTAATAAGCTTGATTGGCGGTTCCATTGTGAGTTCTTGTTTTTGAACATTTAAGCATCCATGCAAAAGCATATATACACTGAAGTTGAGATTAGTATTGACTGTTGAAGAAATGATTCAAGATAACAATTAAGCATACCTTATAACCATTCCCCTGATGGCCCATTTGAAAGAGAAGAGAAAAAATAGTTTTTTTCATTTTTCATTTTTTTCCTTTTTCATTGGGAGTGAGGTGGCACTGAGCTATACCTTATTTTGTTTCGTTCTCTGATAATGGAAGGTCACAAATCTTACTTGCGCATACTGAAATGGAGGATGTTTATCTTGATTCATTGGTTTTGGCTGATTGATGAGTATGGTTTTTGTTTTGAGAAAATTGGAACCACCGTAATGGTTTAATTGTTTTCACAAATGCTGTTCTTTGAGCTTTAAATTCATAGGAAGACCATTGGAGAAGTCTTGAAAGTAGTAAAATGTTTTCCTCCACTCTGCCTCTGTTTCGGTGAGGTGATGGTTTCTTATCCTTATGACACAGTTTACCGGTTGGTGCTTTTGGCATTTTATACCAATTTCAGGCTTTTACCTGACTTTATGGTTTATTATTAGGTGTCTTATTGGAGCTAGTACCAATGTACTATGCAGCATACTCTTTTATGAAAATAGTAAAACATGTTGTTGTAGTCTTGTAGATTGATAGATTTCATAGATCTTATCTTACCTTCTGTACACATTATGAGCATTGCCATATCTTCTTCTGTGGTTTTATTAAGTATGATAAAAAATATAGGTCCGGGCCCTTTGGAAATGAAGTTGCCAGGGTGCTTGGCGGTGGTCTTGTGCCAGGTTCATGTTACATTTATGTTCTTTTTGTTGATTATTTTTATAATTACTGCTTGATAAGTATTTTTATTTTTGGTAACCAGTTAATTTAGTTATATGGTGTATTTTTTTTGGTTAACAGGTTCACTTGTTTTGATTGGCGGTGATCCTGGTGTTGGCAAGAGTACCCTGTTGTTGCAGGTATAAGTCTGTTCTGCAGATTATAGTTGGTTTCTAAATGTTTTAGCTTGCTAATTTCCTCCAATATTTTCCTCTAATTTCTCCATTCAAGCCTTATTGACATTCTTCTGCTAGTAATAGCTGTATTATAATATCAAATTTGCTTCTGAATTGGAAGATGGCTGCAATAATTGCTGAAGGGCCTGAACGTGGTCCAGTTGTATATGTTTCTGGTGAAGAGGTTAGTGTGGATTAAGCCTTGGATGGGCATATTATCGTGCTTGCTATCACAACCTTCATTTACCAGTTCGTGTTTATTCATTATTGCAGAGTATTGACCAGATTAGCAATAGAGCTGACCGATCTTTTTCTATATTCAAGTACAGATATTGAGGTGAATGATTTTAGTTTTTGGATTTTTGTCCACTTATTATTCTCTTGTGAGTTTATTCATAATTTGTCATTGGTAATCAATTGTTCATGAAAACCATTGATTTTAGTTATATATGTATCAACCTAAAGCCTATGGGTTCGAGTCTACATAGGTCAACAGTTGGGGACTAGGGTTAAAGATAAGGCCATGATAGACCCTGAGACTGAGTTTTTTGTAGCCCTATATTCATGTTGGACCTCTTGAATGTACACTTCTTTTTATTGGACTTGGTTGATTAACTCTATTACACCAATTTGTGAAGCTCAAAAACCTTTTTCTTTTTCCCCCTTCTACCATCTGCCTTTTTTTCCAAATTGAAAGAGGAATTGCTGATTACCATGTTCAGAAAATCATGCATACATTTGCTGATGTGGGGAATCAGCTGCTGGAGCTTAAATAATTGATGAACTTTCCTTATTTCAGGACATATTGGCTAAAATTCAGCCTCTTTCACCAAGGGCTCTAATGGTTGATTCAATTCAAACGGTTTATATAAATGAAGTTACTGGAGGTGCTGGAAGTCTCATGCAGGTTGGAATATTTACTCATGGTGACCTTTATGGGCTGCTTTTCTACCAATCTTTAGGGAATTGGAATGAATATCTAAGGAATAACATAGTTCTGAAGTCTTTAAGATATCTAAGATTAATAATGATTGTTGTTGTGGTTGCTATAACAATCCAATTGGCAATGGTTGTTGATTTTGCCATTTCTAAAGCTATTCATTTTGTTGCATTCAGATTTCAACCATTTTCTCCTTTGAAGGTCCTTGTGATAGAAAAGGCCCTTCTAGCAGAA